TTCTTTTTCTTTTTTTTTATGCAAAATAAAAGGAATCCTTTAGATAGTACTGTTCAAATACGACGACTTGAAAAATATTGGCTAGGAGATCATGCTTCGACGTTGACATATGAAGCTTAGTGTAGATGTACAGTATCACACACATTAAAACAAAAATAAAATGATGCCGTAGATTTTCATCCGCTGTCTTAGGCTGATTACTTCAAGTAAAATACTATATTAATTTTAGTGCGAGATTAATTCAATCGGTCCATACAGATTTTGTGAAGGATTTAAAGTAGTCAAACTAGTTTATTAATTACTTAACATTAATCATGAGACATCCAACCCCCCAAATAAATGACTCTGTGTTAGTTAATGCTGGAATCATGACATGTTTATACCATGATTTGTGTGATACGTACTATGATTTCTCAGTCATACTAATTATTAATGTTAATACTGTCTTAACCACCTCCAATTATGAGATGGAGGGAAGGGAAACGAACGCGAAAGAATTAACATGAATGAGTGGTGCAGATTCTGAGGGAGAAAAACTTCAAGCAAACAATTCCGGCTGTGAGAGTTGAGGAAGGTGAAGAAGTTACGTACGAAAAGACAACGACAGCGTTGAGGAGGTCAGCCAGCTTTTATTCAGCCTTGCAGGCTAGTGACGGCCACTGGCCTGCTGAGAACTCCGGGGTCCTCTTTTTCCTTCCTCCTTTTGTAAGAACAATCAACCTCTTTAGTTTTTCTAATCTCTCTCTTCTTCTGCTCATTAATTGTTTCTTTTTTAATAAAACCCCACTCATGACGTCACCTTGGTAATGATCAGAAACGTGTACCAAATCATGGCTGCTAGACAGCCTTCCCTATTTATTCCACTAGATCTGTTGATCGTTTCTTAATTAATTATCTAATTAAAAAATGTGCGCGCGCGTGTGTCTTCCTTCTGTAATGGTGGTACTAAATATTTATATTCTTAGAGTTTGTGTGTGCGTGGCTAATTAAAAGAAGGAAAGAAAAGGGACTACTTTGGTGGTAATTGAAAGACAATTAACCAGGACAAATAACGTTAATTTGCAGGTGTTTTGCTTCTACATTACTGGGCATCTCAACACCATGTTCCCTCCCGAGTACCGCAAAGAAATCTTTCGTTACATATACAACCATCAGGTAATTAATTGATTCCTCATCACTTGAAATAAAAATTAATCTCTTCATCAGAAATCTAATTAGTTATGCAAAATCAACACTTTAATTGAGATGATATATATGCATGCTGCAGAATGAAGATGGTGGGTGGGGTCTGCACATAGAAAGTCACAGCAACATGTTTTGCACAGCCTTCAGCTACATTTGTCTACGTATGCTTGGGGTAGGGCCGGATGAGGAAGCTTGTGCAAGAGGAAGAAAATGGATTCTTGACCGTGGTGGTGTCACTTCCATTCCCTCTTGGGGCAAGACTTGGCTTTCGGTATGAATGTTTTTTCTTTGGGTTATAAGGATTCTTAGACAATCACACTCATATATTTATATATTTACTAGCCTGGTCCAATTCATGATTGATAAGTGGAGTGTAACGTAATAATGTTTCTTCTTGATTTTGTTATAGATTCTTGGCCTGTTTGAGTGGTCTGGATGCAACCCTATGCCCCCAGAGTTTTGGATTCTGCCCACTACCCTTCCTGTTCATCCAGGTAATTGATTTAGCAAAACAGGACGTTTCATTGTTTTTTTTTTTAGCTTGATTTGCAAGTTAATGGTGCTAATTAATATATATATATATATAAATGCAGCAAAAATGTGGTGCTACTGTCGATTGGTTTACATGCCAATGTCATATCTGTATGGAAAACGATTTGTTGGACCAATTACACCTCTGATTCTGTCATTGAGAGAAGAGCTGTACCTTCAGCCTTACGAAAGTGTAAAGTGGAAGCAAGTCAGACATTTATGTGCAGAAGAGGATCTTTACTATCCACATTCCTTGATTCAGGATTTTCTTTGGGATAGTCTGTACTTGATGTCTGAACCTCTTCTTACTCGCTGGCCCTTCAACCAGTTAATCAGAAAGAAGGCCCTTGAAGTAACAATGAAGCACATTCATTATGAAGATGAAAACAGTAGATACATTACTATTGGTTGTGTTGAGAAGGTGCTGTGCATGCTTTCTTGTTGGGTGGAAGATCCAGATGGTGTTGCTTTTAAGAGGCATCTTGCTAGAGTTCCTGATTTCTTATGGGTTGGAGAGGATGGAATGAAGGTCCAGAGCTTTGGTAGCCAGCTATGGGATGCTACTTTTGGTTTTCAGGCTTTGCATACTAGTGAGCTTGGTGAAGAAATCAAGCCTACGCTCGCTAAAGCATTTGATTTCATCAAGAAATGTCAGGTACTAAATCATTAATTCAACCCAATTATTTTTTTTCTTTTCTTGCTGTAATTTGGTGGCCTTAACTAATCAAAACGAACTTGAAATCTGCTCAAGGTTGTGGATAATCCAGCAGGTGATTTCGTGGGCATGTATCGTCACATTTCTAAAGGATCATGGACTTTCTCTGACCAAGATCACGGCTGGCAACTTTCTGATTGTACAGCCGAAGCTTTAAAGGTTAAAACCACATCAACCGAAGTTAAATTTTATGATAACATTTTTGTAAAACAAAGCAGCACTAAATTTTATACTCTTTTGTACAGTGTGTTCTCTTCGCTCAAATGTTGCCCACTGAATACATTGGTGAGAAAGTGGATCCTCAGATGATATTTGAAGCAGTCAATATCATTCTTTCACTACAGGTGAGTGATTTTTGGTGCTTTGTGTTATGAACTGTTCTGCTCTTCACATGTTTTTTTTTTTCTTTCAAAGAAATTCATCTAGAGTACTGGTATCGGAATTTTGATCTTCATTATATAAATTCAGGGACCAAGAGGTGGTCTAGCAGGCTGGGAGCCGATTCGCGGTGAAATGTGGTTAGAGGTAACTTCTATGCTAACATTTTTCATATTCTTTTTAGAATCAAAATTTTCTTTTAAGACCATATATCAACTGAGTATTTTTTGGTCCTTTTATGTTCTTAGAAACTCAATCCTATGGAATTCCTGGAGAACATAGTCATCGAGCACGAGTAAGATTTTTCACACAATTACTTCTTCCTATTTTCGGTTTCTTTTGCACCGTAAATATTAATATCCTCCGAGCCTGATTTTATTGTCATACAATGCAGCTATGTTGAGTGTACATCATCTGCAATCCATGGATTTGTGATGTTTATGAAGATGTACCCTGGACACAGGAAGAAAGAAATTGAGACTTTCATTGCAAGAGCTGTTGATTATCTCGAAATGATTCAAATGCCCGATGGTTCATGGTATGGAAACTGGGGAGTTTGCTTTATTTACAGTACATGGTTCGCACTTGTTGGTCTAGCGGCTGCTGGAAAATCCTACTATAATAACCAAGCAATGCGTAGAGGAGTCGATTTTCTACTCAGGGCACAGTCTCCAGATGGTGGATGGGGCGAGAGCTACTTATCTTGCCCAAACAAGGTAAGTAACTTCATTTCTTCAATTGAATTATGCCTAGCCAAGAAGACAGATACATTGAATAAACATTAATGTGTGTTTCATTGCTCAGATATATACACCTCTCGAAGGAAAGCGATCAACTTACGTGCAGACAGCATGGGCTATGCTTGGTTTGATTCATTCTGGCCAGGTCAGTTCCTAGTGAACCTGTTAATCTTTGCCTTGGTGCCCTGATTTGTATATACTTTTTCCTCAATTTCTTTTCGGATTTCAAGTCATGTGGTAATCTTTTTGTTATGGTTTTTTTCATGAAATAGGCGGATAGGGATCCAACTCCACTTCACCGTGGTGCTAAGTTGTTGATTAACTCTCAGGCTGAAGATGGAAGCTATCCTCAGCAGGTATCCTCATGTGACCTAGTCATTGTAACAACACACACACGTTTGATTTGGCCATTATTGCTCAAATTTTCTTGGATTTTCACTTGGTTTTGTTTAGTGATCATTTAAATATCTTCTGCAGGAAATTACTGGTGTTTTCAAGAATAATTGTATGTTGCACTATCCAACATATAAGAATGTTTTCCCCTTATGGGCTCTGGCAGAATACCGCAAAAATGTTCCATTGCCTTCCGAGAAGCTTTGAGTCAATCATAGGATATTGTACAAGAGAAAGATATATAGCTGTTTGTGTAGAGAAGCTGGAAATTAAATTGTGAATTTTAAGACTGCACAGACCCCATATGCAGATGGTTCTGGGGCAGGTCATAATAAATATGCTCACAGAAGCTTGTAAAAAGTTGAACCAAAAAGTAAGGTTCTCTTAATACCATCTATCCATTATATTAATCAAAATTTTTCAATCTTTCTTGTCCTGTAAATTAGCATGGATAATCTTCTAAAAGAAACTATTCATTACGTCGGCGCAATCGATCATCTATTCTAGGCACGAATCATTTACAATCCCAGCTAGTTTCATCTGTCAATATGGATTTTGGTGATTTGCTTTGATTTTTGTTTCTTGTTAGTGCCTAAGTAGCCAACAAAGCAAAACTTAAAACTGAAAAAGAACTTCAGATAGTGGCTGCATAGATATAGCAGGTCAAACAATTAGTCCAACATTAGACATAACCTATAATTAGCATATCTGCCTAATATAGCAGACCAACTACTAATCAGCATAACAAAATCAAAGGCTGGCCCTGGATCTCTCCTGTATTCATCGCAACCTCTAAAATACTTACCTTCTAAGCTGTTACACAGGCAAATCTTAGTCACTTAGCCAACTTCTATTTTTCTTTTCCATTGTAACCTATGATGCATCCTGATCATCTTTACTATTCCTGGCATTGCACACCAACTTCATCTCTGTCCTGGCTAATGCGTTTTGCATTCCTGCAAGGCCAAAAAAGGCAAAAATATGTGATTCAAAACTTCTTACATTTGAAAATTCTGGAGAGAGTAGTAAGCATTTGAGAATTCTTGAGCATTGTACTAATGGTAATGGGAGCGCACGTAGCTATGCTTGTGCGCGCAACCACCTCATCATTAGTCCTGCTTGTTCTCGCATTCGTGTTATCTATTGTTGTTACATCATTTGGCTCACCAGATTCTGATGCCCTTTTAAAGTTCAAGGAACAGCTAGTGAACAATGAGGCTATTAGTAACTGGAATGTCTCGGTGAATCCATGCGAAAAGGATAGATCAAATTGGGTTGGTGTGCTTTGTTTCAATGGAGGCATTTGGGGTTTGCAGCTTGAACATATGGGACTCGCTGGCAATATTGATTTGGATGCACTAGCTCCCTTGCCTTCCTTTCGAACGTTAAGCCTTATGGACAACAATTTTGATGGTCCACTGCCTGATTTCAAGAAACTGGGGAAGTTAAAAGCGTTGTATTTGTCAAACAACCGATTCTCTGGAGACATTCCTGACAAAGCATTCGACGGCATGGGTTCATTGAAGAGACTGTTTTTGGCAAATAACCTGCTTACAGGAAAGATTGCTTCATCACTTGCAATCTTGCCTAAGTTAACGGAATTGAAGCTTGATGGAAACCAATTTGAAGGCCAAATACCCAATTTTCAACAGAAGGGTATGAAGACAGCAAATGTAGCCAACAATGAATTGGAGGGTCCAATCCCAGAAGCCCTGAGCAGATTGAGTCCAAATTCATTTGCAGGCAATCGTTTTATCCAGCCACAAATTACTTACGTATCTTTATGATTTATCCCTGACCTTTTTTCAGCAGCATTTCCCTGATAAAATCTTTCTTAACTAAATCATTTTCAGGCAACAAAGGACTATGTGGACCGCCTCTAGGACCATGCATACTCTCTCCACCTTCTACCCCTAAAGCCCATGGGAAGAAATTCAGCATTGTATATATTGTAATCATTATACTGATTGTTCTGCTAATACTAGCAGCCATTGCTTTTGCTTTCCTTTTGTTTTCCCGAAAACAAAGTAAAAGAAGAACGCAGAGGAGAGCGTCATCATCATCAGAGAACTCCAACAGAATTATGTCTTCCTATTATAGAGATGTACATCGTGAAATGCCGGAGACTAATTCGCATTCAAGGATAACTGATCATGGAAAGTTGTCATTCCTGAAGGATGACATTGAGAAATTTGATTTGCAAGACTTGCTTAGAGCATCAGCAGAAGTTTTGGGGAGTGGGACATATGGATCTTCATACAAAGCTGTCGTCGGTGGACAACCTGTGGTTGTTAAGAGGTATCGGCATATGAAAAATGTGGAGAGAGAAGAGTTTCATGAGCACATGAGAAGGATAGGGAGGTTGAAGCATCCAAACTTGCTGCCTCTTGCGGCGTATTATTATAGGAGGGATGAGAAGCTTTTGGTTACCGTGTTTGCCGAGAATGGTAGCTTGGCTAGTCACCTTCATGGTAAGTTCCTTTGAAATCAACTGTAATTTTTCTGAAACCATCAAGTCTTTGTATTCTTACAGCCATTGTACCTGTCTTCCTCAGGAAATCATTCACTGGAAGAAGATGGACTTGATTGGCGTATCCGCTTGAAAATCGTCAAAGGAGTAGCCAGGGGCTTGGCTTTCCTCTACAATCAGCTTCCTATAATTGCTCCTCATGGACACCTGAAATCTTCCAATGTGCTCCTCGATGAGTCATTTGAGCCTCTCTTGACAGATTATGCTCTAAGACCTGTGATCAACCCTGAACATGCCCACATGTTCATGATGGCTTACAAGTCGCCTGAGTATGCACAACATGGCCGGTCATCGAACAAGACAGATATATGGAGTTTTGGCATATTAATACTGGAAATATTAACTGGCAAGTTCCCTGAGAACTATCTAACACCAGGGTATAATAGCGATGCAGACTTGGCAACTTGGGTTAATAACATGGTGAAGGAAAAGCGAACAAGTGAAGTGTTTGATAAGGAAATGCAGGGAACGAAAAATAGCAAGGGAGAAATGATAAAACTTCTGAAAATTGGATTGAGTTGCTGTGAACAGGAAGTTGAGAGAAGGTCGGACATTAAGGAAGTTGTCGACAAGATTGAGGAATTGAAAGAAGGAGATGATGATGAAGACTTTTACGGAAGTGAAGGGAATGCACACAGTGTTAGAGGAAATAATCAAGAAGGTTTTTCTTTCACGTACGATCGATGATGATCGGCAAGTATGAAGGAAAAGGCATATAGAACAATATCACAAGGGCTAACAGGTTTCCTGGGATTTCCACCCGCGCGGTGAAGAACACCAAGAGTGGAATGATTGTTATGGGGGTTGTTAGCTTTCCTCTATCAACTGTAAAAAAAATGTTGTAAGTCAATAATGGGGGTTGATTAGGTGATAGAATTTTATGCTTTTGGGTTTTGGGCGAAAAAGGAAAAGCATAAAGAAAAAATATTTTTCACTCAGTTCATTTTTTGTCATCATCTGTGTTATCTCCCCACGTTAAAAGTAACAGGTATCCTGATTTACATGATCACAGTAAACCAGGTCTGCCCATACAGCCACACTTGTGCATACACAGAAAACTCGGCATTGTTTTTTGTACTTGTACACTTGACATTCAATTTGACAATGCAATTAATTTCTAGCTTCCTAAGCTGCTATGATTCCCATGCATGCCCTAGTCCTACCATATATTCTCTCTCTCTTTTCTCAGCAAGTTTATGATGTATTTGAATTCTTCCTGCAGTTTATGCTCCTGCCATGAGGTACCTTAGGCTTAAGCTTTGCTCTCGTTCTCAAGCTTGAACTGGGATCTTAATTTATACTTTTTTTTTTCTATTGGGAAGCCCTACAATCACATGCTGTTAAGGTTCCTTTCCCTTTAAAGGCTTCAAATTGACAGTTAATATTGCAAGCTTTATAACCAGATATCAGTCAAGAAAAGATTTCTTCAAGACATAAAAATGTCTCAATTTTGTTTACTGAGAATTTTATGCCATCAGACTCATTCATACAATTGGAAACAAGAATCAGCAGATTTAAATAAATTATAGACTGCATCCTGCAGTGCACAAGGACTTCTGATCTAGGAGAAGGTGGAAATATATATACACTTGATATTGGTACAATAAAGTTTACATTACAAGCTAATATATCAACACTTTAACAAGAAAGGGAACGTAAAATATTTCATGGAAATGAACATCCTATCTCATTTGTCATTTCCTTGATTTCTATGCATATCACCTTCTTGTGAAAGGGAACAGCAGTTACTAACAGTTGAGCCATTTATCTGTTTCCTGAGCAAATCACCATCTTGAGAATTTTGAAGCTTTGCCTGCCAAGTGGGCTACTGAAATTCTTTTTTTACCTTGTACCATTAATTAAAAATTTGCATATTTTGAAAAGAATACGAAGATACAGAGGCCATCAATATGTAAACTTTATCGGAAACCATTCTTTTTTTGGTAACATTGTATGTGCATTGAAATGGCGCAGCTTCATTCTTAGCCATCGATAAATATAGGTGACCTAAACAAGGACAGAGAGAAAATGAGAAAGAGCAAGAGAGAGAGGGAGAATGAAGGGTGTCATTTCTGCTGGTAACACACAGAGAGGCTTGCATCCAATTGACATTTCCCAACAGAAAGCACATAAAACTCTTTGATCACAAGGCATCATACAAAATTGTTGTCTCCAGAGAGATAGAAGAAAGGTTTTCTAGGTCTCTCAGGTGGTCTTTTGTAAATGACTGCAAGAATTGTTATCCACTTTTGTGAATATATTTTTCCTGTCCTTTTCAACTCTTTTTTTTCTTGAGTGCTGAGAAACAACACAGAAAATGTGGCTTTCAAAGGGACAGTGGAGCAGGAAGGGAGGAGAAGGAAAGGGGTTGGTGGCAGTTGCAGTAGACAAAGACAAAGGGAGCCAAAATGCATTGAAATGGACTATGGAAAATCTTCTCTCCAAAGGCCAAACTGTTGTTCTAATCCATGTTTTTAGCAAATCATCATCATCATCATCATCATTTGTTACTAGTAACTTCTTTTCTCTCTGATATTTCATTATCTACAATAATAATAGATTATAATTATGATGATACTGCAACCTACGTGCCCTACATTGTAAAGGGGGTTGCTCAACTTACATTCAACGTCCTGCAGCTCCTTTGATCTCTCGAGTCAATCTTCAAATTCCAGGTTTCATGTTCTAATCTTTTCTTTCCACGTGTTTTCCTTTTTTCTTGTTTCACAATTAGGCCACGGAGCAGCTGGTGATTATTTTTCACCAGGGAAGCAGCAGCTTGAAAAGATGGCCAAGGATCTCTTCCTTGCATTTCGATGCTATTGTACCCGTAAAGATGTAATTTTTAAGCCCTGTCATTGTCATACCTCCTTTCAACAATAAAATCATGCGTCTTTAGGCACCTTGCATGGAAAAAGTCTACAACATGAGAAGAACAAAAGGAACTTAAAAAATCTGCAGGCATCTCTTATAAACATATAAATATATGCAACCCCAACGATGGAAGAAAACCCTCATTTGCAAATTCTCATGTCATGCAAATAGATGATAAATGTACCTTGCTTTTCTCCTTTCCTTTTCATCATGCAGATTTTTTTTCATGCATCAGGTGCGTTGCCTTGATGTTGCACTTGAAAGCACTGATATAGCAAAAGCAATAACAGAATATGTTGCCCATGCTGCAATCGAGACTTTGGTTCTCGGCACCCCGTCACGGAGTGGATTTATGAGGTATTTTTGCGCCCCTCAGCCCCATCCTAACTTGGAAACTCTACTGGCAAACACTCAACCAGAATATAAATTCAGGGAACCTTCCATCTGCAAAGAAACAGGAAGCGCAAGCTATTTCCAACAAAAGAGAAACTCGGTTTTACCTGAATGACAGGTTAATGGCAGGCCATTTGGTATTGTGGTTCTGGTTCTTTCCAAAGTGAATTTTGGTTTATGCCTTTTCAGGTGTTATTTTTTTTTAATGGTTTTGAGATCCTTATATCAAAACCATTAAAAAACAAAATCAAGTGTTTTTCATATCAAAAGCACTTTAAGAAAAGCATTTTCAACTACATTCGCGACCACTATAAAAGCAGAGCAAGCCACTAATAAGCCATTCTTTTCTCCAAAGCGAGAGACGAGTTCCAACATATGCCAACGTTCAGAACACTAGCAGCACTTTTATACATTCTCAATTCTGAAATTTGTTTGGAAATATCTGATAAGTAAAATACTGAACAGTCAGGATGACTTTATGTACGGATGGAAACATAATCAACAATAACAATCATGAGAGAGATGGCAATTGACAAATGAATTCCATTTTCTTGCAGATATTTACGTGCATTCAGTGACTACAGATCCTCTTAACTCCAATGGTTTTGTTATGCAGAAAATTCAAGGCAGATGTCCCAAGCACTGTGTCAAGAGGGGCACCGGATTTCTGTACTGTGTATGCAGTCTCGAAAGGAAAGGTCTCTTCCATGAGAAATGCTTCTCGTGCCGCCCCATTTGTCTCCCCACTGCTAGATCAAATAAAAAACCAACAGAATGAAAAAAGTGCAGGAGATGACTCTCATGAAGCACTATACAAACATAGTTGGAGTATAAAACGTTTGTACTCTCAATTATAATGTGTTTTATTATATATTGTTGTAGTCCTAATCCAAAATCCAATTTATGGTCTTTTGCTGACAGAGAGGACGGCGTCAGTCAACCATCACATCTCAGTTGATGAAAACTTCAGGTAAGTGAGGAGTGCATCAAATCATTTTAAGAAATTGGGGGATGAGGGTGAGCTTAGTATAATATAATATCTTAGAAGAAAGTGATAGACTGGGATGTCTTGTAATAATTTCTTGGTTTTTGGTTGCTGTGGCTTGCCTATGATTCAATTTGTTCAAAGGCTAATCTCAATACAATTGTGGGTAACAACAGGTCACCGTTTGGAACAGGAAGATATGGTCATAGTGTAAGATCATTTGCAGATTTAATGTCAGAAACTGACATATCATTTGTAAGCTCAAGCAGGCCAAGCACTGACCGCATGTCTTCTACAACCTATGATTTCATGGATTCTGGACTAGCCCCACGACTTTCAACTAGTTCAGCAACTAGCTTTGCATCTATACATTCAGGACCAAAGTCCGTTGGCCACAATTCCCAGCAGGGATTGTCGTCAGTTTCACATGATAGTGGAGGAACGTCATTTTCCGGTTCAACACATAGCCTGGTAAGGAATTAACCACCTTGACAGAAGCATGATTTGGTAAATAATCATCACTAACCATCAAACGTGCGCCGCAAACATTTCAGGAAATAAAGGATGTTTATCCTAGAGTTAATATTTGATCAACTTAGATAGATTGAGCAACGTCTTATGATGGAAAATTATAGCATAATCTTACATCTTTACATGCTTGAAAACAGCAACTTCATATTTTGATTTCTTCATTGTCTTTCACGTGTTGTTTTAACTATAAAGTGAAGAAGACTGCAAAATGTGTGATCACAAGTACAGATGTTTGATCTAAATGATTTCTACTTATCTGTATTGTAAACAAATAGGATGGCATGGAATCTGAGATGAGGAGGCTAAAACTAGAGCTGAAGCAAACAATGGAAATGTACAGTGAAGCATGTAGAGAAGCACTTACAGCAAAACAAAAGGTACAGGGAAGTCATGTTTGCCATGAGAACTTTTAAGATTCCCTGTAGGTTCTAAAATCACACGTATATAGGCAACGGAGCTGAATCGCTGGAGAATAGAAGAAGAACGAAGATTGGGAGAGGCAAGATTTTCTGAGGAGGCTGCACTATCAATTATAGAACAAGAGAGAGCCAGGTGCAGAGAAGCCATAGAAGCTGCCGAAGCAGCTAAGAGGAAAGCAGAAATAGAAGCTCAAAGGAGAGTCAACATAGAGAAAGCCCTCAAAGAAGCTGCACAAACGAAAAAATCAAAGGGTAATCTATCCTATAATGATATCAGATACAGGAGATACTCAATTGAGGAGATTGAAGAAGCAACACAATACTTTTCGGAATCAAAGAAGATTGGGGAAGGAGGCTATGGCCCAGTTTACAAGTGTTATCTCGATCATACACCAGTTGCAGTCAAGGTTTTACGTCCTGATGCGGCCCAAGGAAGGTCACAATTTCAAAGAGAGGTGAGGAACAAAGAAAAACTGGTTAATGATGCTCCTGTCTACTGGGTGCATGTTAGGTAATGTGGTTGAAAGTTATTCCTTTGTGAAAAAGCACGAATTCGATGGGTTTTTTTTTCCCTATGGTTTTGACTTTCTTATATGAAAACCATAAAAAAAAAACATCTGAATCTAAAAAAGCATCAAATCCCACACTCTTTGAAAAAGCACCCTAACCACAATACTATATGGTGCCTAGTATTTTACATTGAAAGAGGAAAAAAAACAAACAATAAATAAGCACACCATTTTCAAACTCTGGCATATGATAGTGTTGAATCGAAGTTATGGAGGTGTAGTTCTTTTTAGACAAGACAACGATCATTTTGTGAAAAATCTAACCTCTACCTTTCAGGTTGAAGTGCTTAGCTTAATACGGCATCCAAACATGGTACTGCTTATAGGAGCCTGCCCAGAGTATGGCATTCTAGTCTATGAACACTTGGCAAAAGGAAGCTTAGAAGATTGTCTTTTCAAAAGAGGGAATACCCCAGCTCTTTCTTGGCAAATCAGGTTTCGAATTGCAGCCGAGATAGCCACAGGCCTACTCTTTCTCCATCAGACCAAGCCAGAGCCACTAGTGCACCGTGACCTAAAGCCAGGAAACATTTTGCTAGACAACAACTACACCAGTAAGATTGGGGATGTTGGATTGGCCAGGCTTGTTCCTGCTACAGCTGAGAATGTAACACAGTACTACATGACATCAGCTGCTGGAACTTTCTGCTATATTGATCCAGAGTACCAAAAAACTGGAATGCTTGGTGTGAAATCTGATGTATATTCCTTAGGGATCATGCTTCTGCAAATCATTACAGCCAGGCCACCAATGGGGTTGACTCACATTGTTGAACAAGCTATTGAAAATGGGGCATTCAAAGAAGTTCTAGACCCAGATGTGCCTGATTGGCCAGTTGAAGAGGCTTTAATTTATGCAAGGCTTGCACTCCAATGTGCAGAACTGAGACGGAAAGACAGGCCAGATCTTGGCACAGAAGTCTTGCCAGAGCTCAACAAACTGAGAGATTTTGCTGAAGAAAACATGAACTACCTGTATTTCGCTGGCAGTTTCGGTCCTTCTCCCAACCACAGCCAAGCTTCAATAACTCCCCCCCTCAGCCAAACTTCAATGACTCCCACCAACCTCAGTCAAGCTTCAGTAAATAAGGTAAAACTCCCAGAAAGTTAAACCCAGGAAAAGCTCCTAAAGAATGAGATTAAAAAAATAGAAGGAATATTACATCAAAATCCCAAGACATAAGCATTAAATAAAAGCCACCGCAAGAGTTCACATGAGCATTGTTTTGTAGAAGCAGGCATATAAATTTTCCATTTTCCCGAGTAAACAGGGGTGGATAGATTCTGTTCTAAATATTGTCGATAAACATTCTGCAGGAAGTGACGTATGATTTCGTAGTTGAAAACCCATGAAGCCCAAGAAGCCAATCAACCGCTTCATGGCAAACAAAAGCAGAAGCAGGTACTAAAAATTAGGAAACAAGATGGTCATTCTATTGCATAGAAATTGAAGTCATCTTATAATTAACTTGTTTAAAATTCTCTACTCACAGAATCAACACCAGCAGGCTAAAAGAAGGCCAACGGTAGCTTTCTTGCAGCAACATTTTTTTTTTCCGGAGAATCCATCCAACAGGGCAAGTCTAGCTCGTGATAGCATAAACATGAAGCTGGGGGATTTGCTTTGCTTTTGGTTTTCAATGGACATGCACTTACATACTTAAATTTTGTATGCTTGTTCAGACATGAAAAGAACATGTTCAAAATGTATCAAATAAACACTTGAAACTCTATTAGAAAATGTTTCTAACCAACACCTGCATTTTCTGCTACTTTCTACTCTACTCTGAAAATCTGGGAAACAGGAAAAAGAAGAAAAAAAATCCTCACTTAAACACACTCACCATAGCACCACCACACATTTTAACTTGATCTCATTTTTTTTCCTTTCAATTCTCAGTGAAAATAAATTTGATTGCTAATTCCTAAGAGAAAATAAATTTAAGTACTTCCTTTATATGTTCAATTCTTGTATTCCTTAATCCATTTATAATTCAGTGCTTCCTTCAGTTTCAAGAAAATTATTAAATTAAAGATGATTAAGAGATTATTTAATTGCTTTTATCCAATGGGGACTAATTAATCAATTAATTAACATAAGTTATAGCTAAATCAAAGAAAGTAATTAGTTTTTTTTTTTTTGAGAAAATCTAAAAAGAGCTTCCACCTATAGGTATCTTCACTTTTATTTTCAAAAAAAATCCTACAACAAATTTGTCTTTCATATTTTAGAAAATCTTAACCGAGTCTCTTCATCCTTAATAATAAGTAATCTAAAATTTATCTACAAAATATTTTATATCAAATTATACTCTCTCTTTTTCTTAAGAAACATTATTTTGTAGGGTCGTTAACCTTTTCTATTAAATAATTATAACAGAAGGTATCGAACTTTTTGAGGGATGCTATTGATATAAAAATGTGTTTGAAGGTAAAAGTGATACTAATCCAATAGTTGGGGAACATGTTTGAAGTTTGCCCTTTTATTTGTGAATAACAACGCTTAACTCACTCTCATACCATTCAAAACGGCGTAGCAATAACATGTTTTCTCTTTGTCTCGGTCAGGGTTTTAGGGTTTTAGCCAGAGCAGGAAGAGCCTCTGGTTTTATTTTTCGATGCAGCATCACTGCCCAGTTCAGCTATGACTACCAAATCCCTTTCAATCCCTCTGGACTTCCCATTCCCTTCTCCAAAAGCTCACCCCCTTCCCACACCCCACCCCAAAATCCAATTCCCTTGTAAAGTCCCTCTCTTTTCTCTCCCACAAAGAATCCAATTCCTTAGAAACCAATGCCCCCTCAAATGCCAAAACCCCAACGACAACAATAACCCAGTACCATACACCAGTCAACAAGAAGCCCAGTTTACTGAAACCCAAGAAGCCATCTCTCAGTTTCTTCAAGAATTCGGAATCTCCGCAGCGGAATCCAATTCCATTGCTTTGAATTCTCCAAAATATGCTAAAATGTTGTTTGATAGTGTCAAGGATTTGGAAGAGTGGACTTCGTGGAAAAGTGACGGGGATGGAAATGAATTTGCAACCTTGGGTTTTAAAGAGAAGGTGGCTTACATGGCAAAAGAGAAAGGTGATAATGGTAAAGTTGCTTTCTTGGAGAGTCTTGGATTAAGCTTGTCTTCTTCCATGAATGTTGCTCGGTACCTCCATGGAGAGTCACTTCCTAATCTTATTCACAAGGTAAAGTTTCAAACTTTGTGCTTCTTTTTCTCTCTCTTTTGAGTTAGTTGATAGTGAAGTCGGGCACTTTATGTAGTATGGATGCACTATTGAACTGTCTTGTATCTTGGTGAAATAGAAAAGTGCAGTTGATTTGAATAGCAATTTTTTTGTTTTATGTTCACTGGAAAATGAATCGAAGTGACTTCTATAATTCGTTTGAACTTTAAAATTTCCTTCTTTCTTTTGTTCTCAATGTATCTACAATCTTCAAACTGTGGTTGATTAGATTATTCGAATAAGGATTTGTTCATATAACTACGAAGCTTGTGTTGATATTGCTATAATAGTCTAGTTGTTGCTTGTTAATCATTCCAGTGGTTAGTTGGCTAGTGAAAAAGCCCATGTAAGTATCTGAATTCATAAGGATAAGTCATATTAGTCATCTAAGCCTTGATTTCCTACTGTTACTGTTTTGTTTCCCTATCATTGTACTTTGGCACCATATGTCTTCATTCCAAAGATTGTGCTAGTTAGAGAAGAATTCCTTTGAATTAGTCGATCCTTTTCCTTTTCTTAGGAAAAGCTCCTTGCTTTTATTTATATGTGGATAAATATTTCTTTCTATTCATTCTGCAGAGTTGCTTATTTTTTATTTGGCTTTTAGGTTAAGTATATGAAGGAAATATTATTTTCTGACAGTGATGACAAAAGGCTTGTTGGAAAATATGCTCGCTGTATGATGATGAACTTATCGATACCTATTGATGAAGACTTGCAGCAGACCTTGTCACTTTTTGAAAAGGTCAGGGTGGTTCTCTCTTCATTTAGAATTCATATTATGAAAAACCTGCCTCTTACTATAAAATTTTGGTTGAAAGAATTTTCCTTCATCTCCTTGGAGGGGTCTGTGTGTGCATGGTGAGGAGAGGGAGGCAATCCATGCACCACTTTACCTCTTGAGCTGTAGCCCAAGGATTTTTTTTAAAAAAGAGGAACTGATGAGCTTAGCTGGGCATTGTTTTTTATTGGTTTCAGATTGTAAGATAAGCTTGCTGTGCTATGATGTAGGTTGAAGCAAGGCGTGGAGGTTTAGATATGTTGGGTTCTTCAGAAGTCACTTTTCGATGTCTAGTCGAATCATTTCCACGTATTCTTTTGTTGCCATTAGATTTGCACTTGAAGCCCATGGTGGAATTTCTTGAAAGTATTGGAGTCCCAAAGGAGCATATGAGAGAGATATTCCTATTATTTCCACCTGTTATAGTCTGTGACATTACAGGCATTAATAGAAAAGTTCAGGCTCTCAAGAAGGTAACTTTTCATGTGTGAAACAGGGAACACCATCTTTCTTGTGTTAGATGTTTTAGTTTGTGCACTGAAACAGAGTAGCTTCATTAGATGGATTTTATGCTATCACTTTGTTTATATCTTGCCTTTCTGTGATGTAAGAGAATTTTTTCATCTGTTGGTTTCAGGTTTGGGCATTTGATAAAGATTTTGGTAAAATGCTTCTAAAATATCCATGGATTCTTTCAACAGCAATCCAGAAAAATTACAAGGAGATCGTATCTTTCTTTCATATGGAGAAGGTAATATTGCGTAAGTTCATACTTGCTGATGCTGAACATTGGTTTCTGTTTCTGGTGTGATTTTTCCATAAAACCACGCTTACTTGCTGATGCTGAATTGCTCATACATTAGGATACACTGGGATCACGTAGTTTTGGGGAAATATTATTCTAGATAAGTCTGTATAATTGCTTGCTGTAAGAATATCAATGAAAATTGAAGGCCAAGGTTGTCTTAGCAAAGAAAAATATAGAAATTACATGGTGCACCATGTAATTTGTTTATTCACTTCTTCTAAGTTAAGTGAAGGAAACAATGAAATGATTTCCAAACTAATTTAAATCAGTGTAACTAAACTCCTATTAAGTTACAGGTTTTGCTAGACATCTTTCATTCTTGTACCTCACTACCGTTATAAAATATGAGCATTCAGTAATACTTGTCCACTCATGCTTAATGTGTGTATATGTATCTGCTTATGTGCACACATATATGCTCCCTCTTCAACTCCACTGATGCTTTACCTTTCTCCCTTTTTTTTTCCCTTCCAATTTTTGTTATTATGTTGATTAATAAAATAGTTGGTCTGTTATTACTGAAATCAGGTAGACAAATCAAGTGTTGACACAGCAATAAGAAGCTGGCCTCACGTATTAGGTTGTTCAACTAGCAAGCTTATGGTAATGGTGGAGCAGTTGGCTGAGTTGGGCATTAGAAACAAGAAGTTGGGTCAGGTTATTTCCAAGAGTCCTCAATTACTACTAAGAAAACCCCAAGAGTTTCTTAAGGTATGCAACTACTAATTTTTATTCTAGTTTAACATGAAAAAACACATTTGGCAATCAACAACGTCACTGTGATCTTTGCTGTTTTATTAGTTTTAGATCAGTTTCTTAGCTGGATGCTCTATATTCCTATAAATATTTGGTTTCTAAGGAAATCAACAAGTATTAATCCATGATAAAATTTAAGGTTCCCGCTTATGGTATGGCTGTTCAATTTTCACATGGATTTTTGGATTCACAGAGAGAGAGAGGTATATTCTTTTTTTTGGGTGCATGCACAAGCACACAGAGATGGATATATGTATATGTGTATTCTCTTCTTCTTTTTTTGTGCATAATGAGATCTTGAATGACAAATTTGAAAATGGACAAAGAAGGGGGGAACATAATGCTTGCGAAATTATATAGGAAAAAATCAACAAGATGTGTGGAACGGACAACCACAAAACTATGATGTAGATTAACGCCTTCTGGGAAATCCTGCAAAGAAGTTGGCTGGTGCTGCTGCTGCATCTCAGCCTTATGGAGGAATAAATAGCCCTCAGGGCCAATTATTTCTTTGTCAGTAGTAAGATCGACATCATATCTGGGGTGGGGAATATCAATGGTTTGACTCATCTATCAAAGAGAAGACAAATGGAAAATAATGGATAAAAAGCATAACTAGATGATCAACTACTATACTCTGTGAAACAATTGGCTTTCACACTTCAGTATTGCTAAAGGATTTAGCTCTTGATTTATTTTTTGGATATTTTAAGATAGCTCTAAGGAGCCTGGTTCAAGCTCAAGTTTCAAATGAGCAAATTAGCTGCAGGCTCTGCTAGTTAGCCTGTGAGATTTAGCAACATGTTTATTGAAATCTTATAATCTTGAATTATTGTAACCAAGTAACATGCCATAGAATCCAAATGCTTCTTTAGGTTTCCCTATGGTATAGCTTGTTCCCAAAGTTTCTGAACTTGAATGAAAAGTAAAACAATGCCGTCGATACCTTTTATCTGGCAGCTGGGAGGAAATATTCATTATATAAGTGCATTGTTCTGTCTGCACCTTTCTTTCTTGAATATAACAAAATGCTAACACTATAACGAACAGGTGGTTTTGTTTTTGGAAGATCTCGGATTTGATCGTGAAACTGTGGGACAGGTAGCCAGTCGCTGTCCTGAGATTTTTGCTGCAAGCATTGAGAAAACTCTAAAGAAGAAGATTGAATTCCTAGATCGAATTGGTGTTTCTAAAGACCATCTTCCTCGTGTTGTTAAAAAATACCCTGAGCTTCTTGTCTCTGATTTCAACAGAACTATACTTCCTCGGTAATGCCTTTATCCTGATATCCTCTATTAGATTGTCACATCTTCCTCGGGTTTCTTTCTGAGTGCCTGGGTCGCATTAGTTCCTCCATCCAGAGATTGTCTAGTTTACATGTCACTTATTCAGTGCTAAGTTCTTTATAGATAGGCCATTCCAATGCTCAAGTTCTGGGACTGGAACCTAATATTTATCATTGTTATGTATTACTCAGAATTTCACTCCATGAGTCATGTCAGAGCTCTATTGAACTGTGTTCTTTACTAATTGGACTGCATGGTGGCAGGATGAAATACTTAAAGGATGTGGGACTGTCGAAGAAGGATATTGCTTTCATGGTCCGCAGGTTCTCTCCTTTACTAGGGTACAGCATAGATGAGGTTTTGAGACCGAAGTATGAATTCCTTGTGAACACCATGAAAAAACCAGTGGAAGACATAGTGGATTACCCGCGGTATTTCAGTTACTCGTTGGAGAAGAAGATAATGCCCAGATTCTGGGTGCTAAAGGGAAGGAATATTGAATGTAGCTTAAAAGATATGCTTGCAAAAAATGATGAGGAATTCGCTGCTGATTTTATGGGTTTTTGAGGGATGCCTGTTCCCCTTCCCCTCATCACTGAACTGTAAAGTAGTGGTGTATCATAATAGTTGTTTCTCTGTAAATAGCACACTACAGTAAATGAAGAAAAGGTTTTATCCTGTTAGCTTTGCCAAGTAACTGATACCAGCGTGCTTGCTTTTCTTTGTTCCCACAAGTAATCACGTAGCGGCCCAAAATTCTGGTGGCTGCTTAACCCTACTTGCCTGCCTGCTTGGCTTGAGAGTTTTGTTTTTCAGTAGTCTGAACTTCTCTTCTGTAAAGGCATTTCTCATCTCTGCTGGCCTCAGGTTTTAGCCTGTGCAATCTTTATTGGCCGTCCCATACCTATATCCTATATAGAAGTGATGATTTTTCTGGTAAAAATTATAATGCATAAGAAATGTCCCTTTTCTTTTCTACATTTCTTTTTCTATAATGCAATAAAAAATCAACACAGATGTACAAAATAAATCAAGCACAAGATTCAATTCACCTTTTCTTTCTATGGTCCTGTTCTCTTACAAACTGATGGTCTAGAAATTCAAATATATATATACATGAAGAAAAATGTTGTATTTTTCTTTTTTGAAGTAGTCTTAACCTTTTGATAACCTCTTCCATATTCTATAATTGGGCTGAATATGGGCAGGTTTTGAACTTAGGGCACGGCTCCAAAAAAATACTAGTATGTATTAGGGCCCACACCTGTCCTTGCCGTTAAAAACCGTTTTTATTCCCTCCCTCTCGCTGAACTCTCTTTGGTTTTGTTGAGATTTAGAGGTCAGTCGGGCCATTTCCGTTTCTATTTACAGGTTTGGAATCTTAAATTTTTGTTTTAATTTTCTTTTATCATTTAATGCTTTTGTTTTTTTAAAGTAGTTTTACCTTTTGATAACCTCTCCCATGTTCTATAGATGGGCTTAATATGGACCAGGTTTTGAACTTAGAGCACAGATCCAAAAAATAGTAGCATATATTAGGGCTCACATACCTTTCCTACCGTTAAAAACCGTTTTCCCAAAAACCGTTCCCCACCCCCTCTCTGAAGTCTCTTGTTGAGATTTAGAGGTTAGTCGGGAGATTTCCATTTTTGTTTTCAGTTTTTGAATCTTAAATTATTGTTCTAATTTTCTTCTTTTTTTTAATTTCCCCCATAACTGGTCTCTTTGTTTTGCATCTTTTTAATGGTGTCTATTTCAAATATCAATATTCAAGGTCTCGACTGTGCGTGTATTTTTATAGTGATTAAGAAGAATTTAGCCACAAATGCAGCATTTTGGAAACAGGGTTTGAATAATTATTACCAATTGATGATTATTTAATAATTATTTCTTGTGTTTTGATCTTGAGCAGTAAGGAATTAATTTGAAAGGGGCACTATATGATTGTGGAGTTATTTAAAAATGGGGTCTGTCGTTAGTCAAGCTGCTAATGGAATTGGAGGTGTTGTTGGAAATGCTTTTGCAGTTCCGATCAAGACTCTATTCGGCGTTTCATGCGAGTATGTATTAGCACTATAATTCCCTTAATGATTTTGTTCTATTTTTCAAAAGTTTGATGATTATGTTCCAGATGATGCTGCATGCATCATGGCATTTGCTGGTTTGAATCTGCAGGGATGTTTGTTCAGGACCATGGGACTTAATTTGTTTCATCGAACACTTATGCGTCTCCGATCTGTTGAAATTGTTGATGATATTTGCCCTCTCCTACATGAGTAATCTTTTTGTTTTCTTTTGTTTTATCATCTATACATATCATCAACATAAAGTGAATGATTTCATGTCTTGTCTTTATGACTTGCAGCTTTGATGTTCTTCTACCTACTGTTCAAGATTGGGGTTTGCCAATGCATAGGAAAAAGCCTTTGCAAGATGTGTTGGGCTGCATGTGAGACATACTGGTTTGCTTTAGAAGATATAGCCTGTTTCTTATGGCACAAGTTAAAGAACACAAAGCGGGTGAATAGACGCCGACGATTCCGAGACATCGAAGCTGGCTACACTTCAAGTTCAGAAACTGATTTTTCAGAAGATTATCATCATTTAGGTAGAAAACGCAAGTCAGTAATGGAAAGAAGAAAAATACGCTCGCGGTCTTGGAGGTCTCTCCATCATTCAAGCAGGTTTGGCAGTCGAAATAACAACCATCGGCAGCACCATCAACACCATGTCAGGTTGAAGACTAGGGAAATCTCTGTTCATGTCAAGGGTGGATCGCGAAGACCAAGGAATTCAAGACAGTTTCAGTTAGCTAGATTAAGAAATCCTCGAAGAAACATGGGAATGTTCAAAAGAAAGCGACTTAGATGATTATATTAATGAAATTTTCACTAACGTTTTAACCTTCTTTTAAAGTCGGTTTTAGCACCGATATTAACAAATAAATATGTTCAATTCCAATAATATCTGTTCTAATGATTGAGCTTTTCAATTGAAAAAAGTTCCTTATTAATTGCCAACAGACACACTCCTATTCCTCAATGTAAGCCCTCACATGTTCATGGATAAAGGGAGAAAAATGCGGAGAGGGGAGAGCATTATAGGTTATGCAAATTATAAGTAAATAATTTGCTCTCCACTTATTATGCTTCCAATAATGTTTTGTAGTTGAGCCCTAGACCTAAGTATGTATATGACTTGGATTTTATTTATTTCTTGCCAAAAAAAATTATATCCAGTAAGAGATGATTTACCATAATTAAAGTAGAAAAAATCAAAAACTTTCAAAATGGTCATAAATCATAAGAGTAGGTGCAAGCTCAAGAGTAATTATACTGTATTTATGTCCTATTACTTTCTTTCTTGATTTTACTCCGAGAAAACTTCCCTTCTTTAAGAGCTACCCTCTCTCTATTTTTCTGACCAAAAGACTTCGGTGTTCTGCTTGGCTTCTCCCTCTCTGGTAAGTAGACATAAACAACTAAACATATACAACCTCTTTGTTTTACAGTTTTTTGTATCTTGTTTATCTTTAAAACCAAAAACCTTCGCTTAGTACTTTTATTTTCACTCTGAAAAATTCCATTTATAAGCAGATGCAAACAAACATTCAACAATATGTATACTTGTTTGTTTCGTTGGCCTTTGGATGTAAGATATGCAATTCTGTCCTGTAAAAACTACGTTTATTTTCATTGAATTGAATAATTTCATGCAAGTTTTCTAGCTTCTTTGATGGTTTTATAAATGATAGTAGATGCATGACTTATCCCATTTTGACCATGAAATCTGGCACTGATATTCTCAGTCATTCAAAACTTTCGTAGAGGCCTGCAATCTGCGTATGATTGATACTAATTTTCTTTTGAAAGGTTTGTGCACTGGTATAAAATGTCTAGCAGCAAATAAAGATGCCATACTAGGCAGTACTGGTTCTCTCTTTTTTTTTTTCCCCTTCATAATTCTTGTAGCTTGAGAAAATGCCTCCGAAAGAGAAACCAAAAGAGGACTACACCGTCGAGGCGACATCATCTGATATTGGTGGAAGGAGAACCATAGGCAATGACTAGCGTACCCTGGTCAAGCAAAGACAGTTTCTGTAGGCAATGACTAGCGTACCCTGGTCAAGCAAAGACAGTTTCTGTATGTCAGAATTGTGAGAGCTGATGGCTTGCCAGCAAACAATGTGACTGACACTTGCAACCCTATCGTTGAGCTAAAGATTGGAAACAGCATGGGAACAACCAGGCATTTTGAGCATACATTGAACCCAGAATAAAGGAACCAATTCTTTGCTTTCACAAAAGATAGGCTTCAGGGTGGGAGATTAGAGACCATGGTGAAGGATATGAAATCCTTCAATTTGGGCGATATTCCTCCATGGTTTCCACTAGATGGTCCATTGGCTCCACGGTGGTGTAGATTGGAGGATCGCAGTGGGGTCAAGGTTGCGGGAGAGTTGCCGTTAACTGTTTGGATGGGGAATCAAGATGATGGTGCTTTTCCGGTTACTTGGCATTCTGATGCAGCTGCTGTTAGTTGAAAGCGTGTCAAACACTCGTTCTACTGTAAACAAGTCTCCTAGACTTTGGTATCTTAGAATTCAAGTGATTTAATCACAGGATTTGGCACCTACCGACAAGAATAGGAAGCCCGAAGCTTACGCCAAGGCTATTCTTGGGAACTTCGTTTTGAGGGCTACAGTTTCAAAAGATAAGAGTCTGAATCCTACTTGGGATAAGGAAGTGGTGCCTGTTGCAGCAGAGCCAATTTGATGAGCCTTCGATTTTAAGCGTGGAGGATAAGATAGGAGCCAGCAAGGAGGCATGTTAAGGGAGGTCTGTAATTCCTTTGTACAAAGTGGAGAAGAGATTGCTGGCTGGACCTATTTGGTCTCCGACGATTAATTTTGAGAGGTACGTTGTGGAGACTGAAGAGAAGCAAGAAGTGAAGTTTGCCTGTGGGCCTCATTTGGGGATCTTTTTAGATGGTGTGCGTCTTGTTTTTGAAGAACCAACTTACTACAGCGGTGATTTGAGGGCAACGTCTCCCTAGTTATGACCAAAGAGAATTGGGGTATAGAAGGGTTGCTTCCTACGTAGTCCAGGGAAGGTTGTGGAATCAACAATGCTGATGATTGCGCAGCGAAATATGGGGCGAAGTGGGATTTCTGCTCCAAAGTGGAATGAGGAAATGGTATTGGGATTGTCTATGATCCTGTCGGCTTTTTTTATAATTGTCATTTACAGGGAGGGGATAAGAATGGAGGGATGAAGGATCTAAGACTCGGCAAGGATCCAGCTGTCTACTCTCGAGATGTCCTCTCCATTCAGTTTTGATTTCACAGACGGCAAATAGACAAGGGGTGGTCTAATGGCTTCTATGCTATTTGGATTCCAGTGCGAACGTAGGCTACAGGTATGGATCCAAGCGTTCGCAGACATTTCAACCTGTAATCCTATGCATGACATCCAGTGAATTAAATTGAAAACAAACCCTGCTTGCATCCTTAGAGCCCTGTGGATCATTATGCAAGCACTAAAACAACCCCTACAGGCCAACAGGTAGAAGCATGTTGACACCTCCATGGCCATGGGTGTCAATTATGAGAGAGTTTTTGTACTAAAACATTTTTTTTTCTTAAACATAATTTTAGTATCAAATCCTCCATGAAACATGCCAAACCAAACAAGTTGCCCCTACCAAAAACAATCAGATCACCAAGTTGCTATAACAATCCTTGATCTAATGAGGCATTTTGTCCGCGAGATTTCCTCACCATACAGAAAAACACAAGCATTTTACTTGAAACAAAAAAAAAAATCATAGATATGAATGGCATTGTTTGCCCTATGCATGCAGCTTAATATCTCAATTGCTGGAAGAAAACATGGCAATACAAAGGTCAAAGGAACCTTCTCTACAGTAACAGAACATATCCAGGTATCCCACAGTTCATCATTTCGATGACATGTTAACCACCACCATATATTTTGGTCGACCCATGGAAAATCCTGCAATTAAGTGCCTGCTACCCTTCAACGTCTCAAAGTCCATGCAGGTAACTCACCTATAATTTCTAGCATCCAATTACAATCCCAGAAATAATGATTAATTTCTTCTTCAGACGCATTGGCAGTGGAAAGTGCAATAGTGGCTTCCAAACTGAGAGATGATATCTACAAGACCCCCATAACCTCCAACTGCAGTCACCTGAAAGGGCAATCAGGGCAAGAGCATGAGAAGTCTAGTGACAAGCATTAGGGGTACAGAAAAGGGAATAAATTGAAAAACCAGACGGGAAATAATAGGAAAATACCCCCGATGGATGTACAGAAACAGAGAATGCTGATTGAGGAGCAGATGGTATTTGAGAAAGAACTGCCCCATTTATGTCAAATTGACTCATTACAGGCTCTGCTCCGACAGCTAGAATCTGAGATGGTGATACACTGAGTATTAGTGTCTCGAAACAGATAATTTAAGAGAGTGAAATTTTAAATATTACTGTGCAAAATTTTTAATTTTCAGAGAGAACGTGACAAATACCACACTATCAGGCAAGTACAATGAGACACTGTTCACTACTTCAAAAGCATGGGATATCAAGGAAGATCATTGTGGATGTGCAATAGAGTATAGACCATTGTGTACAATACCATATAAATTCTTATAAGGTGGGTTCGATGAGATTGGAGAACAACAGATAATGACGTTGAAAAAAAGTGGGCACAGATAAACCAACAAAAAAAAAAACAGAAAATTACTCCACATAAATGAGAAATCAACTCTTTTTTTTAGGGTAATCAAAGATTATTTTATTTATGGCTAAAAAATTAAAGTAGCAATAAACAACAAATGCTTTTGGATGCCTTGTGGAGATGCATGACAGGAAAATGGAGACTTGTGCAACAAGCTTAAACACTAGTTTTGGGGACCCAGAAAACTTGTCTACTGATACAAAAAATTCACAGCCATCACCGGCAACTACCTGTGATGACAGCTATATTCTATATGACCCCCCACCATCCCGAAGAAAGAAAACAGAAGAAAGAAAACAGAAAAACAACGTTACTTAAAGTGAAAGGACCTGTTTTATTACAGAAGTTCCAAATACTTTGGCAATTCACAATTGTAACTTCAGAAATAATTTCTACGCAAAAAGTGTTGCAGTCCTATGCCCTATGCCACCCATTAATAATGTCCAAAACCTGATCAAACTACAACAAGTATATGAATGTCAGCTATAGTGAAGAGATCTATATACTGTTAAACTTTCAAAAAAAAAAAAAATTCACTTACTTGATTGCCACTAAATATTACATCCTGTATGGATGCACGAGTGCACATCCTTGAAACACATTCAGAAGCAGGAAGATTCCAGACCGATAAGCTGCGACCACTGCCACAAGCCTGAGGCAGAAGACTTGATCAAATGGCGTCATGACATAAGCCACATAACCACAACAGCGAACTATTCCCAACACTTGAAAAGAATAATGAATAGCATGTTCACTTTCCCAACACTTAAAAAGAATAGCATGTTCACTTATTTGGCTTACATTCCAAGCATTTGATTCACATAGCTATGGCATTTCACTAAAAAAGCATGTTATCATAAATTATTTATGTCAGCATGCAAGAAAGTAAGTGGCTTCTATTCACTTCAAAACGCATGCTTTTCATGAATACTTTTTCCAGCACACACCAAAGTCCCTTCTAGAAACCTCAAAAATAAAAATAACTACAAAGTATCTACAAAAAGGAAAAAGTAATGGCATCTTGATAGCATGAACTCTCTTACCAACCAGCTCTCACTTGCATCAAGAGCAATGCAGCTGACAGATGAGGAAAATCCTTTGAACTTCTCATCCTTCACTGAATCAATTACCCAGATACACTTTCCACTTCTGCAATCTGAATAAAATCTCATTAGGTCATAGCGCTAAGAACAATCACCAATAGCTACATGATAAAAAATATAAAAGTTATGCAAACAAAGAAATGTTAGAAGTAATAATGTGTCCTGACTCACTTTGGATGATGTTGGCAAAGGAATAAATCCACTCTATTCAAGATTGTATTAAATGATATTAGTTACTCAGATGGAAAGATCATATGCTAAGTTCAAAGAAGGCACTTGCTCTTTTAATCCCCCTCCCCCAAAAAAGGAAAAGTGAAGGTTTTGACAACATGCTCTCCCCATCTTCTTGTCTATACAATTAACACCACCATTACAATATCTGGAGTTTTGAGTATAGATACATCCAAAGAAAGAAATATCTTCTAAAATGATTGTCACTATTTACAATGAATACAACCCATGTCAGTATAATCTTATTTGGATTTTCCAGGAACGTGACTTCCAGTGAATCAATATATTCTTAGGTATACTGAGTCATGATTACAAAGTTGCAGATAAAATTGAAGGAAATAGCATGAAAGTTGACAACATATGCATATTGTCATGTGTAGACTTTGTGGCTGAAACCAATGACAATCAATTACAGGATTTTACCCCAAAGTCTTGCAGAACCATCCTCTGAACCAGTTATGATCTGAAAGACAAACAAGATAAAACAAATAAATAAAGATAGGAATCACAAACTGATTCCGCAACCCAAAATACAGCAGCCAATGTTGTTGTTCATGGCTCCTCTAAAAGTAAATAAGAATGGATCCAACCAATAATTTAGCCCAAAAAATAGCTTTTTGGAAGCATGGTTATTTAGCCACAATTCATAGTGGACACGTATGATTTCTCTGCATTAGCTTGGTCTTTGCTATAAATTTAGGAAAAATTATGAATACAGATTATTGCGGGAAAAAAAAAAGCATGGAAAAGGACCTATTTCTGCGGGTAAAACAACATTTTCATAACTTCTTTTCCTTCTCTTTTCTTGCAAATTATTTTTGTAACACGCATTATACTGCATGGTTAGAAAGTAGCTGGTGTATCAATTTTCCCACAAAAGTTTGTTTAACTCCTCCACTTCCAGGAAGTTAAGAGCATGATGATCTATATGAAGCCTTGAAATTCAGTAACATAGTTAATGCACAATATGTGAGTACTGAACTCTTGGTACATTCCTAGAATGATCCTAAGATGATGCATATAAAAAATATCTTGTGAAATATGAAATTGCTTTTAAATGATATCTAGACATGCTCACACACATACACGCTAGTAGAACATCCAAATTGACATAATTTACAAGAAATTAGAGGCAACAAAATTCTGATGACCAACAAATAAAGGAAGCATGACCTGATTAGCGGAGTTACGAGCAACTATACAATACAAGTAGTCCAAGTGTCCCTTAAAACACATTTTGATCTTACAAGTTTCCTGAGAAGATCCACAAACAATCATTCCATTGTTAGTGCAACAAATCAAACATATGAAGTTATCTGGAATGAGATGAGATTCAAAAATATTTCAAAAATGGAAGCTAATAATATGAAAGGTTCATTCACCTTGAACAAATACATACCACATCCCAACAATATGCACAAGAATCCCCAGCAGCTGAGAAAATGGAACCCCCCTGGAGCAGGAGATAATGTTAATATACAAACATAAGCAAATAATTGCTTGCCAATATACGAAAGGAAGCTGAACACAATTGGAGGAAGGGGGTAGTTTATGGAGAGAAAACATCTTGAACCTGGGTATCCACTGCAATGGCATTGTTTTCTGGAATTGGGGATAAAGCACCCCAAGGACCCCTGATAGATAGGAGCAAGACAAGATATGCATTTTAATAAAGTGCCTAGGGGCTAGGGAAAACAAACATATTCACCATATAATAGATGATGATTCACAATTTTATCACAGAAATAACAAAGGTGTGAATCTCAGCTTGGCATGGGTGTCATGCCAGACAATAGGTTAATTCTACAAATTCTCCTTGTATACAAATATCAAAACAAAAAAACTATGCAAAGATGCACACTAGCACATCTCATGATGTTGGTGGTCACTCACTTGTGCTGGGGATTCACCATATCAACTACTGGCTGTATGTGGTTTCCTGACAAAACATTGAACATGAACAAATAGAAATGGACATAATTTCATCACATATATCAGAAAAATATTGAGAGAAAAACTCTGCAAATCAAGGAAGGGAGCTAGTAAAGCAAGAAAGGGTATGATAAAACTGGCTTTGTGATGCTCTTGATGTTTTTCAAACATGATTTTTTATTATATATTACCTTGCAAAGCAACAGGCACCTGAGATTGCATAAATTCCTCCCACCTCCATCCTCGAATTCGACCATCATCACCACAACTACAACAAAAATTAACAAACCCATTAAATATCAGACCAATTAGATTTCAAATCAAAGAAAGCACTATTAAATTAAAATATTACAAAAAAAAAAAGAACCTTAGTAACAAAGCATCTTCTTCAGCATTGCCATAAAATTTGACATCATAGGCAGGTCCATCATGTCCTTGAAGGAATGCATTAGGTTTAACCCTAACAACAATGAATGAGCATAAACCATAAAAGAAATAACTACGGATCAAGAAAACACAACCCACCATACTTACTGTGGTGCCCTTGAATCACTAAAACCCAATGGCTGTAATAGGAGAAAAAAATAAAATCAAATTCAACTATACCACAATTAGTATGTTTTTTGAGTGATTAAAGAAAGGGAAAAGTACAATTTCGGAGATGGAGTAAGAGGTGAGTGAGCCGTCGCTGGAGGCGAGGACGATAGTATTGGGGTTCGTGTTTGAAGATGGTGGCCACGCAGTTCTAAAGACAGTTAGGGTTTGGATTTCTCGATCTTTTAGAATGCTCTCTTTGTATGCATCCTCATTCCAGTTGGTTGCGTCTCCAAACATTTTTCACAATATAAAGTTGACTCAGAACTCAAACCTGTTATTGTCTGAAACCATGCCAGGATTGTGAATAGATCAATCTATTACTTGGCAAAAAACAATAATAGAACAAAATGCTATTAGAAAATAAAAACGTGATATTATAAACATCAAAATCAATAAAAATCAAACCCGCTCAAGCGCAAAATACACACTCAAAGAACACATGAAATTTCATACTTGTAACTGCACAAACAATAATCAATGGATACTTTATATTTAATTTGAATTCCATAAAACTAATGTCACTCAATACTCAGTACACATGAACATTAAGGTTTCACATTGTAGCAAACCCTAGCTAATCTATACTGCTAATTACAAGTAAACTACAAAATCAATCTGTACCTCGGCGAATAAGCGAAGTCTTCTCAAACTCTATCTAATCCTTGTGCAAGCATGGAACAATTCAAAAAGTTTTTAGAAAAAGTTAGTCCGCAAGTAACAAAGCCGAAGGCAACAAGGAAAAGAAGAGAAAGAACACGAGCCATCAGGCTCAAATGATATTAGAAAAAAAAAGGCGATATTTTCTGCATTAATTTACAGTTCCTCAACTAAAACGTCAATAAATAATACTAAAAGATCAAGAAAACAGACTAACCAAAGCATAAGCAGTAGTGGTAGCGTTGAGGAATTCTTGAATGATAGTATCAAGTTGGTGATAACACAGAAAAACACAACTAGAGAACATACCCTTTTAGTCATAAAAAAATTTCAAGAAACAAATAAAACAAAATTTATTCATGAAGACGAATCGTACAGAGAACTTACCTTGGTTACAGTAGCGGCACCGGAGGAGGAGCGAATGTTTACAATGGTGGCGGCGGAGGAGGAATATTTTGGATGCGAAAAGAAATGGTTTTTATTTATATGAAATTGACTTAGATACCCTCAAGTTGTTCAGGACAATACGCAAAAAGTATCAAATGTTGCGTCTTTTTCCTTTTTCCCATTTTAACACTCGCAGCCTTCTTGTCAATGCACTTCCACTCTCTGGTTCTCTTTCATCTCCTAACACCGTGAGATCAATGTCCTCTTCCTCATCAACGGCCACGATGCATTCTCCACCGGTTGCAAAGAAGGTCGAGCACAAGATGGAGATGTTTGGTGACGTTAGGGTGGACAATTACTATTGGCTTCGTGATGATTCACGAACTAATCCTGAGGTTCTTTCTTATCTTCAACAAGAGAATGCCTACACGGATTCTATTATGTCTGGTTAGTCACTTAGTGTTGTTCCTTTAAGGATTTATTACGTAGTTTTGCTTTTGCTTATTGAGAAAAAAGTTTGGAACTTTTAATGTTAAACGAGAAAGAACATGGGTTAGTGTACTTTATTGTGAGATTAATCGTGTTTTAAGTGGTGGGTTATTATTGTGTTTTGTTGTTTTGTCCATAGATAATTAAAAGTTTGTTTCTTGCCCTTGTTTGTGAATCTGAGAAGTAGATATTTGTAATTTACTTGCTAAAGATTTTTTTTATGAGATTTCAGGTTGTTTGTTGAACTTAGCTAGAGTTGGACTTTATTCACATTGAGAAATCTAATGGATATTGAAAAAAAAAAAAGAGTGAAACGTGTGTGTTGTTTTTTATAGAACTTGTGATGTAGCAATTGATGAATTTGAAGATTTGACCTTAAGGAACTTTCATTGTTGAGTTTGGTTTATACGGTTGGATAAGAATCAACTTTTATGTATAGATCATGAAAGCTAAATTTGAAAATTCATTCAAATTGAAAAGGCCCTTTTTGTAGAATCGAGAATTAATGGAGTGTATAATGTGTTTTAGGAACCAAGCAATTTGAGGATCAGCTATTCAAAGAAATACGAGGGAGAATCAAGGAGGATGATATATCAGCGCCTTATAGAAAAGGGCCTTACTATTACTATAAAAGGAATTTGGAGGGAAAGGAGTATGTTCAGCATTGCCGCCGGCTTATACCCAATTACAACACGACACCATGTTCTGTCCATGATACAATGCCAACTGGACCTGATGATCCTCCAGAGCATGTTATTCTTGATGAGAACATTAAAGCCCAAGAGCACGGATTTTACAGCATCCAGGCTTTCAAAGTAGCAAATCTAGCTACCACTGCTTGATTTTTTTGTTCCTGGATTTGAGTTGTCTTGCATTTTTTCTTTGCTGATTTCTGTTTTTTTTTAAAAAAAAAAATTCATCTGTTTCTTCAGGTCAGTCCAAATCATAAGTTGGTTGCATATGCTGAAGACACAAAAGGTGATGAAATTTATAGTGTACATATCATCGATGCAGAGACTGGAGCTCCTGTAGGGAAGCCTCTAACAAGTGTAACATCTGATGTTGAGTGGGCCAGTGATGACACTTTGGTTTATATAACAATGGATGATATCCTTCGGCCTGATAAGGTAATTGTAATAGATCCTTCGGCCTGATAAGGTAATTGTAATCTGTTTTAATTTTATGCACAGAATTAATTGCTTCAACTTTGACAGTAGAAGTGCTTTCTTCTTACCTTTCACATGCACTTAGTCCATGCTTCACCATGTTTCGCACACTTCTAATTGCAGCCGCACTTCACTATGCCTAGAAAATTGAAGAGCAATTGGTTAAAAGCTTATCATGCTTTTTTTAACTTGGTCCAAACTAATAACCTCTCAGAGGCAGAGAATTGACATGCATAACAACTTTTCTGTCCTATACATTATAACGTCCCCCCTCCCATGTGAAGGAAACCAATTATTTATTCAGCTGTACATTAATCTCTAAGAGATGAAGCATGGCTGCGTGTTATATCATGTTAGCTATGGTTTTGCTTCTCAAGCATGTGGTTCTTTAATTGCTCTATATTAGATTCTAAGGGTACTCTCTACAATATCCTAACCCTTTTTGTTGTCCAATTATATTTCTTTGTGTAAATTTTAGTTTCTTATTTGATGAAGTTGCACTGACCCTGCATTTTAAAGTATACTCTACTTCATAATGTGAAACCATTATGTGACCCTGCATAATTTATTATCACAACCACCCTGAAAATCATCTGTTTAGGTCCAGCCTCTGCAGTAAATGAATTTCTCATTCAAAACCATCTTTCCCTTTTTTAATTGGAACTCCATCAATTTTATCTTCTTTGTTGGATTAATATAGTGATGGCTTGGATTTATTTCTTATGATAGGTGTGGTTACATAAGCTGGGAACAGACCAATCAAGTGATATTTGCCTTTATCATGAGAAGGATGATACATTTTCTATTGATCTTCAAAAATCAGAGAGTCAAAAATTTTTGTTTGTAGGGTCTGAAAGCAAAATTACAAGTTTTATCTTTTTTATTGATGCTTCCAAACCCGAGGATGGTCTTAAGGTTTTGACTCCTCGTGTTGTTGGGATTGATACCCGGGCCAGCCATCGTGGAAATCATTTCTTTATTATAAGAAGAAGTGAAGAGTTTTTCAATTCAGAATTACTAGCCTGCCCAGTGGATGACGTGTCTGTAACAACAGTTCTTATTCCTCACAGAGAAAGGTAACATTCACTTTCTTAGAAATGGGATTCTCTTTATTTGTTTGGATTGAGGTGGAATCATCTTGTCTTGCAACCAAATGGAAAATATTTAATGTGCCAAATTGTAATTATGCACTGTATTATGTTCACAACTGTTTTGTGCAATGTGTTTCTCATGAAAATTGCTTTGGATTTTATGTATAAATATGAAAAAGATATTGTCTGTCATTGCTGACTCTTATCAATTTTATCTATTTTGGATTTTAACCAGAATAAAAATTCAGGATACCCATCTTTTTGCCAACCACCTTGCTGTATATGAGCGTGAAAATGGTTTGCCCAAGGTAACTGTATATCGCCTACCAGCTGTTGATGAGCCACTTACAAGCCTTGAAGATGGCCAGGCTATTGCCTTTATCGACCCTGTATATACAGTGGATCCAGCACAATCAGAATTTAATTCTAGTGTTTTGAGATTTTCTTATAGCTCATTGAGAACGCCTGACTCTGTGTATGACTATGATATGAACACGGGCACTTCTGTTGTTAAGAAAATTGAGACGGTAAGATATCAACAAGCACTTTTCATATATTACTAAATATTTATCTAGGTATTACTTGTGTGGGGCATGAGACATTTGTTTCCTTTACAAAAAAACATTGTTACTGTTGTCTTTGAATATTTTTTCTTCCTACATTTTGGAAAATCAACAAGTTTTCTCTGTGTTAGACTTCAAGCTTTTTTATAATCATGCAGCGTGTGCCTGCATAGCGAAATGTAGAAGCTTCACATTGTTTTTCCTAGATTCTTCACAAGTCTTATGCTTGGGAACTGCAGCAAAGTAGCTTCTCTTCATCCTTTAGTGATTTTGCGTTTCAGATTCTGCATTTGTTTTATGATATCTTTCTTATCTTCCCTTTTCCTTTGTTGAGAAGTTTACAGCATTTGATATGCTCAAATTGATCCCTCTCTCTCACACGCACAAGCATGCACCAATTTTCTTTTGCAACATTATCAACTGTTACATTACTTTTGGGTCCTTAAAATAGTGTTTATAGGTATAATAATATCTTTTCTGGTTCAAATCCCACAAAACATGCATCAAGTTAGTGTTTTCAATAAAACTAGAACTTGTCAAGGCTTTGTTTGTAAATATTTATGCACCAAATTCTTTTCTGGCAACCAGAGTGAAATCAGTGAATTCAAATAAGTTAGATGCACCTTCTTTTATTCTTCATATATGAAGATTTTTGTTAATCATTTGCATTCAAGTAGTTTGTGATAATCAATTTTGTTCACTATTGTACTAAGGTCCTGGGAGGCTTTGATGCATCTGAGTATTTTACTGAAAGGAAATGGGCCACTGCTTCTGATGGCACTCAGGTCCCTATGTCAATTGTCTATAGGAAGAATCTTGTTAACCTTGATGGATCTGATCCATTACTTCTGTACGGATATGGTTCATATGAGGTAATATGAGAGTTGCATAAGTTGTTTCCACTTACCTTGAAGTGTTGCTTCTTTGCTTTTTATTAGTCACGGATTTGCTTGCTTTTATGTAATTTATTTGAAGTGAATCTTTTTGAAGATAAAGGTTTTTAGTGGGCATTATTGTGAGTTGTGATGTCACATTAACACATCCTTGTGTCATTTATTTAGTGTGGGCAACTTTTAATTCAAGATAGAATCAAGTGTGATCTCCACATTCATCTATAGTTTTTCTTCCATCATGATTTAGTTATGGCTGTGCAAGTCATGAAAGTTTAAGTCATAGTTTATTTAATCACTTCAGACTCACAGGATATCATTCATGAAAAGTGTGCATGCAGATGCTAAGAAGTCTTTGGCTCTTCTATATTC